TTTTTTTCCGGTCTTCCCGGTCTACCAAGGACCTGGCCCACCGCGACCGGGGAGTCTGGGTCCTCCGGAGGACCCGGCCTGTCGTTTTGGACACAGCCTTAGACTGTTCAGATTCAGAGGCTGCGTCCTCTGAAGGCCAAAGGCAGCTTACGTCACAGTGCCACGCCAGACCCTGTCCAAATTTGAAGTCTCCTCTGATGAGGGCGACAAATGCGTCCTTTTTCCCCCCTGATTTGAGGGACGGGTCCGATGGATCCTTCTCGAACCAGCGTATCCCAAAATGCTTTGCGGACTGACCAGAGATTTTTTTTCTGCTCGTCACGGTGGACGAAGCGAGAGAAAGGCATACAATTATAAAAAAAAAATCTGGTGGTATAAAAATGCAAAGTTTCAAGTGGTTGGGTTGTTAATACTTTTGTAATTTATACAGAGGCTGCACCTTTCGCAGAGTAGTTTTTTTGACCATATGCTTGTGTGTTTTTCTGTATAAAACACAGGATCAAAGCTCTTTTTTAAACTCACCTTTCCTATTGTGTGTGTATTCTAAGCTGCAAAAGGTAGCGCACCAAGTTGTTAAAGACCCTGGACATTCGTTCCCCCATGTTTGTCATGTGTGTGTTTCTCCTGAACGGATGTTCTAAACTGCAAATTTTGTTCTGCATTGCATCTTGATGTTGTGTGTGAATGACAATAAACATGTTTTTAATGTTGTTCTTGTCAGAAATCAACCAAGCTGGTATAGGGAAATAAACATGAACACATGGCAGGTCCCTTAGTTCTTATTGCCTTTAAGCTAATTTTGTTGTTTTGTGATATTATTAATACTACCTAGACCAGGTAGGCCAGGTCCTTCGAAGGACCCAGCCCCTGAATTTGGACACAGCCTTAACTTTCCACTGAGCCTGAATGCTTGTTCTGCACTTGTGACAATATTTAAACATGAAATTTCTCCCTGTTTAAAGTGTATCTTACCCCCCAGTGAAAAGATAACTCCGCCCCAAGGCGAAATTTGAAAAATGCATCAAAGTGGGTAGGGGAGGGTGTGTGGGTAGGGGAAGGGGGGGTTTGAGAGCGGAGGTGTGGCCAGGACGAGAGAACGTGACAGGCAGCTAGCATTAGCATAATTGATGCTACATGGAGAGTGACCACAGTATCACAGATA